CATTTTGATAGTTAGTTCCATCCTTGATTATGTGACAGTGATAGGAGGCTTTGGTCCTGAGTTGCAATAATTAGGCCTCAACTTTTAACCCTGTATTCCCAGCCACTGATTTGCTTTCTGTTAGGCCGCATCTGCTTCTTTCGTTCTTTTTAGCTATTTGCCATGCAACGCCTTGTTCTCCCATTTTTTTTTTTATAATTTCATTTGGCCAAGCTGTTTTGTTTTCTGTTTTACTCGTTTGGCGTGAATGGTAATCGCTTCGTTTTTTGTTGGCAGGGTTTCAGATATATTAGGATGTTTCTTGAATAGTGCAATTTCTTTGTTGATGGAGTGGATTTGGTGTAGGAGAGGGCTACTGTCTTTTGTGAGATATGCTTCCAATCCGATTGTTGTAGTTTTTATTTCTGATATGGTCACACTCTGCGAGAAGACCTAAGACAGGTAATGGTGTGTTGTTATGGCTACAATTCATGTTTTTTTAGCGTTACAAAGTTCTTCTTAATGTACTAATCAAGACAATTATTTGTATTTCTCTTTGATTTCCAGGGATTTTTCAATGCGTTGTTGTGTTCCTTTTTTTATCATCCCAAGAGCACCTACTATGACTGGTACTATTCTTATTTTCATTTTCCACATTTATATTCATTTAGCGCAATTACAGAACATCCTGATATTGGATGTTCTATGAATTCCTGATATTTGTCACAGAACCTGCATTTTGGATCCACACTATTATGTATGATATTTGCCTGAAAGTAACCAGTGAAAAAACTCTGGTCTTACACTGCAAGAATAAGCCTTTAATCCAGATGCTCATAACCATCGATGATTATTAACTTTATCAACATCTGCTTTATTAGCACTTCCTGAAATTTGGTTACGCGGAGCTTTGTCTGGTAAGCATTGCTTCATCTGACAAGAGCTTTATCATTGGCTTTCTTTTTCATATTTTTGCTGCAACCGTTGTGTCTGAGCTTTTGTTTTGGTTTTCTACCGAATCTACCTAACGTTAATCTCTATTAACTTCTTTCATGATTGAATATTTTTCGTGTTTGACTAATTATATCATCTAGTCCTTTGTTGTTTTCATGTATGTTAGTAAGCCAATAGTTGTTGTCTTGTATAACAATTCTAGCTGAATAAGACATCTTCCACCTTCTTTATACATAGACGGTCTGCATCAGCCTTTCTTTTCTTAGAATCCATTCGTTTGATATCATTTAGAGTCCTGTTCAAGATGAAGCACCGTAATGGCAAGGCTATTAATGGCCATAATTCTGTTCTGAGAATTCAATTCAGTTGAATATCAGTCATACCTTTCTATAGTACTCTTTTCACACTATCTCTTTCATTTTTATGGTGAATTCCTTCACCCTCATTTACATCGAGGTACATGTAAGTTTCTTCTTGCTCTAAATCTTTGATGGTTACCCCCAGGGTTTAAGCTAATAGAGGAGGTTTGTTGTAGTGATCCTCTTAAAATTATGGTTTTAGCACATTTATCCAAACCGAATTCCATTCCGATATCATCACTGAAACATTTTACTGTTATCAGAACTTCCAGCTCACTGTTATTTCCTAGCATACAAAAATTGTCAAATATATGGCTTAGTTTCTTTTGAGATATCGCCATATTTCGTCCTGTTAAGTTCGCTGATTAATGCTATCAGGGATATACAAACATCTGTTGATGTTTATTTAACCAGATTTATAGATTCCATGTATATGATTGGTACGAAGTGTAGTTTTCATTATCGCTATACTTTGTTTGATGAAACTGATGATGACGGGTGATATCTTGTATATATTTAAAGTCTTTAAGGGAATGGGATACACTATCGAATGCCCTACGGTAATCTATCCAGGCAGTACTGAAATTTTTCTTTATATTGAAGCAGTTTTCCAAGATCATCCTAATAAAAACTAATTGGTCTTTACATTCATAAGAGCCACGTTTTTACCCCTTTTGTTTAAGAGGTAGTATCTCATTTTCTTCTAAAAAGGAATATGTCGGTTTTGACAGAATAGATGTTAACAGTTTGTAAGTAGTGGGGAGACATGTAATTGGTCTGTAGTTTTTGGGACATTTGTGTCACTCTTCTTGAGTAAAAAGGAGGTTACTTTGGTTACTCATGCCGGAATTTTAGTAGTATCATTGACCATTTCTTGAAAATTTTTGGCTAGTTTTTTGTGTGCTGTATTTAGATAATAAAGCCAAAAGTTAGGAATTTTATCTATTCTTGGAGATTTCAAGTTGGGTGCTTTTTTTCAGTGCACATTCAACATCATTTTCTGTGATTCCCACCCATGTTTGTTCGGGTTTATTTTTCATCTGTTTTACTTATTGTGTAATCCAATCTGTTTCTTTTTGTTGTTTAGGGCAAGCCCATATTTTTCACCGAACTGTATAACCTCTTCCATTGTTACGGGTGGGAGGTGGGTTTTGTCACTTCAATTTTTACTTTGCCTGTTTCTCTGTAAAATTTCTTCGCATCGGTTTAAAAGATCTTGTTCTGTCTGTAGAATGTTGATCTTTTTTCATAGCGTCTGATTCTATGAGCTTTCAGTTGTATTGTTCGCTTTATTTTTATTTCTTTAGCTGATAGGACTTCATTTTCATTCCTAATTTTAAGGCATTTTTATGTTTATACATTCTTTTTATAGATACAAATATTTAAGTAAAATGCTCTGTTTATAATAAACAGTATTAAACAACATTTACCGGCCTGAATGTCCGAGAAATTTTCACAGAAAATATTCGTCCTCCGACAGAATTCGAACCTGTATCCTATACGGAACCGTCATTTAGCTTGACGTGCCTTTAACCGATTTGGCCACAGAGGAGCGTTCGGTTAGCAAGGTCGAATTTACTGTCTTTAAACTTCAATCTTCCAAGAATCTCTCACGTAAATTCATATCTGCTCAAAGCGCATACTACTGTAAAACAATGACGTCACACATTATGAAATGGACAAAGTCCGTCAATTATTTTAAGACATTTTTATGTTTATACATTCTTTTATAGATACAAATATTTATTATAAAACAGAGCATTTACTTAAATATTTGTATCTATAAAAACATTTCTTTCTCTATTTTTCTTTTCCAAGGTGGATTTTCATGTCTGTGAGACTGCCTTTTTTACTTTAATGTTTCAGTTTTTAGTTTCTGCTTATTACTGATATATATATATATATATATATATATATATATATATATATATATATATATATATACTATTTCGTTAAGATTTATATGTGGCTCTACTTCATCCAGAATTAATTTGAGTGCTGCATTGTAGAGTCTAACATTTTTTAGTTTATGTTTGTTGGTTGTAATTTTGGGAGTTCTTCTCGTTTCGCCTTTTCAATATTTTGCGTCTGACTTATATGCCTCATGATTTCTTACTTGGCTTCTTGTATGCTATTCTTGTTTTCTGTAAAATAATTCGGTTCAATGTGTTTCGATCTCGTTTTATTGCAGGCTTGTGATCACACCTTTCCAACTCTTCTAAACTTTCAGCATTATCTTCAGAGTCATTGATATGTATCTCAGTTTCTTCATTTTTGATCAGTGGTTTGTGTGATGTTAGTACTTTTTATGTGCATTTCTGTTAGCCTTTCAGAACTAACTTAAGACCACACCCCTTTTACATAGATAAAACACTTCGTAAGGTGTAAGTTATACTTGTAGGGATATTTTTTTATATTTCTTTAAGGCATGGGCTACAAGGGATCCCTTCAATGAGTCTATCGAATGCTTTTCCAATCAATCCAAAGGTTCCAACTGGAATTATGTACATACCAATTTCTTGCATGTTTCATTATCATTATTATTATTATTATTATTATTTGTAACTTCACATTATTATTATTATTATTATTATTATTATTATTATCTTTGATTTCTGTTGTATACACATTCCCTTCCGGGTCCCAATCAGAAACCTAAGGTCAGAAATGGCTTCATGACATTTTCCACTGATCGTTTTTCTAAAAAAAACAAAAAAACAATCTAACATCACATACATTTTACATAGCTAAAGCTCTTCGTAGGATGTGAGCTGTGCTTGTGACTAATTATTTTTGTATTTCTTTAAGGCATAGGCGACCAGTAATCTCTTCAATGAGTCTATCAGAACCTTTTCCAATCAATCCGAGGACTCCAACTACAATTAGAATTACTGATATCCTTGTGTGCCATATTTTCAAGATCACTGTATTTTGACAGTTTTTTAAGATCTTCAGATATACATTACAACCAGCAGAGACTGTCATGTCAATAAGAAAGGACATTCTGTTCTTGTGTTCTTTGATCTTTGATGTCTGGGCGATTAGTTTTGATTGTTCTGTCTGTGTTTATTGTAAAATTCCATAAAATTGTTACATGTCCTATCTCTGTAACAGAGCCAGGGGGATGTTCATAACAATTTCTTGCATGTTTCATTATCATTATTATTATTACTTGTAACTTCACAAAAGATTTATTATTATTATTATTATTATTATTATTTGTCCTTACACAAAAAATTAATCATTAATATTATTATCATTATTATTATTATTTGTAACTTCACAAAAGATTTATTATCATTATTATTATTGTTGTTGTTGTTGTCGTTGTTATTTACTCTGTGTTTTCAAATCAGTTGAAGCACTTTCCTCGGTATTCCCTTTTGTTTTAATCATTTCACCCCAAGCATGGCGATAATGCCACTAAGACTGACGTAAGGGGCCACTGGGAATGAAAGAAAATGAAAAGACTTGAGAAGGAATCGGAAACCAACTCATAAACATGAAACAAGGGATAAATCTCTACTTTTCTTCAAAAGGCTGCGAACTGATTTTAATAACACTGTTAACTGGTTTATTTCAATCACCCCAATGTTCCAAATGCGCCAGTAACGAGGAACACGACAATCATCTTCACATCTCTTTTCTAAGTTCTATGACAATTGTTTTTGTTTACGACGAGTTGTGTGAACTGGAGGTTCCATTATTATGACTATTCATTTCTTCTTCTTCTTCTTCTTCTTCTTCTTCTTCTTCTTCTTCTTCTTCTTCTTCTTCTTCTATCATATCCAGTTGTTTTTCTGATGTAATCGTCTTTCAATTTGGCATTGGTTTGCAGGAACAACAACATTCCTTGTCGTCTGGGCACATTATACGCAGACTCCATCCTCTGAAGAAGAAGACCACCACCTAAAAAGGTGGGGCCACCATTCGAGAGGATACTCGGGTATAAACTAGATCTATGTCTCTTTTTTTTTTTTTTTTCGTGTAAATCGACCGTAACCCAACTTTTTCTTTTAACTCGAGTAAATCTAGACCTAATTCTACCATTGTTTTCACACCAGTTGAATTATTATTATTATTATTAGTTAATTATTGTTATTGATAACTTCTCCGACTCTTAAATGTTTCGGCCGAGTAATGATGATCATATCTCAGCGCCTACCCGCAGCTTAGAGACTCAACATTTTCCTGAGAACGTGAACTGTTTCAAGTAGCGCCGCCAACATCGCATTTCCCAACGATGTCAGGTATACCCAAGGCGTCTTTCGTGGTAGAATGATTCCTGGGAATAGTTCCGAGTGTGCCAACTACAAAAGGGACAACTCTTTGGTATATTTCTCTGATGTGCTCTGCTTCTTCTCTTTCTTGTTATTATTAATATTATTATTAAATTAAATAATAATAATAATAATAATAATATACAGAGACGCAAAGAGGCACAAACGAACACATGATGAACATATGAAGAATTCAGACCAAACACGCAGATCAAGAATCAAGCATACACCCTTCCCACACGTACACGCATATTTTTCTTTGCGTATGGCTATGCCACTCTCACACAGCAGTTCAATCTTCTCTGGAGGCCCACACTTGGTGACTTAGCCAACTAACTAAGCTAAGCCAGTGCTTGTAAAAAGGCACTGCACCATGTGGTTGTGGTTAGCAAGCTAGTCTTTAAACTTTAGTGAGTTCAAACCTTAATAGATGTCTCACACTTACTGTAAGCTTGGATATGCGGGTGGTGTAATAGATAATGGTTCGGAATTGTTAATCGGAGAGCCGAGTTCCAATTACCGTCGGGTTCGTAATTTTCACTTACGTGCAAATAACCTTGGGAAAATTATGAATTCAACTCTTCTTTCCCCAATTATAGGCTAATTAGTAAGACTTGTTTCACTAAATCTATATTTTTTTTAATCATTTAATCCCAAGCAAGGCAAAAAACAAAACAAAAAAAAAAACAATAAGACACAAGTAGTTACTGAATGTTAGAGAATATAAAAAAGACACTATTAAGGAAAAAGAACAGTAAATGAGCAAGAATTAAGAAGACAGTAGATAATGTTTAACATTTTATTTAAATTTTTGAAGATCAAATTTGTCTCTGTCCTGGGTAAGACGATAAACTACATCCGTGTCCTGGGTAAGACGATAAACTACTTCTAACAGCAAGGCCTCTGATCAGCAGGTTTTGCGGAGCGTGGAACCACCATTTGATTGCTGGTGTTCCCAGGTCCGGCCTGGCCCGCGGTGATAGCACTTGTTAGGGTCCCAGCTATGGGCAAAAGTAAAAATAGGTTTTACTACCAGCAATGCATTTTTATAAAAGGTTATTAACAGCAATGAATTTTTGAAGAAAAAAATTATTACCAGCAATACATTTTTGAAAAAAAAATTACCAGCAATAAAAATCTTAAATATCCCATAAAGGTTGATATGCCGTAAAACAAACTAAACCAAACAAAATTTGTCTGGGAAAGAAGAAGCCGGAAGAGACTTCCACAAGCAAGAAGTGCGACAGAAGAAATTGTTAGCATAGAACTTACAGTTACATCTAGCCAATTCCAATCTAAAACGTTTAGACTTGGTTGTCAATCTAAAACTGTGTATAAATTCATAAAGTCTAGGTACCATAGAGCAAAACGCATCAGAGTAATTAGAAATGAAAGTATGAGAAAAGGCTCAGAGAAGCTACATTACGGCAGTAGGAAAGCAACTGAAGGTGAGGTGCCAGGTCAGGACCAATAACATTGCAAATTCTTCTTTGAATTTTATCAAGAATCTCTAAATATATAGAAGGAGCACTAGACCAGATGTGGCAGCGGTATCCAAAGCAAGGACAATAAATATGTAAGATAGTTTAAGGCGAAAAAAATGCTTCCGGGTAAATTGGTCCACCGTGTTGTGGGGTCCAATTTATCCAGAAGCAGACCTAGCAATTGATTCAAAATAATCTCTCCAGGATATGTCAGCGGAAAATTTTAATCCGAGAAAGTAGTATCTCCTAGCAAAATATTCTTAAACTCTAAAAATATTTTCTGGTTTAAAAATAACCTGCACAGGGTTGATAAACCGTAAAAAAACAAATCAATCAATTAGTCAAAGAATAGTAGAGCACACATTGAATATCGAACTAAAGGTATTGAATGGTCTGGAAAACCATCTTATTAATCATTGTCTCATACCAACTCGGAAATCCGCACACAGATTTCCGCAGCTATGTCAACGTTGGCCAATTTGACAAGAATATGGACGAGCAAAATCAGCGCACAAACAAAGTAGAGACTACAAATCGCTGGTAGTCTCCATTTTCCTATATTGATGTGAAACGTGGATACCGTTGGCAGATACAGAGAGAAGGATCCAAGCGTTTGAGAACAAATGTATGAGAAAATTCCTTGGAATTTTCTATTGGGAACAAAAAAACCAATGAGTTTGTGCGGAAAGGGATTGAAAGTTTTGTGGGACACCAAGAACCTCTTCTCACCACTGTCAAACGGAGAAAAATGACGTGGTTTGGACCATCATGCAAGACACCTTTGAAGGTGGACGTAGGAGAGGGTGCCAACGCAAAAACGGGTTGGACAATGTCAAAAAATGGGCAGGTATGACTGCACTAGAATTGCTGCTCGCTGTCGTTAATTCCACTCTTGTGGAAAAAAAAAGTTACTGTGTCTTCTGCATTCGGATTCGCTCTCCGATTACAAAAGTCAAAGGGATGATGATGATGATGATTGCACCAGGCATGATAGTGATGTCAGTCAAACACAAGGTCACAAATAGTACCGATAGTAAGGTTCGAACTAACCCACTTCTAAAGTAGCCCCCTAGCCATTGATCCATGCCTGGGCTATCTATCAGATAGATCAATGGTTAGTAGGGTAATTTAGACAAATGTTGATAAGAGCTACAAAGAACAGAACGTTATGGAGAGTCATGATCGCCCACGTCCTGATGAGACACGACACATAGATGAAGAATCGAAAAAGGACTGCAAGTTGTGGATAGCCATGAACGTCCACGTTAGAATAATCGATCTGCAGTTTCTCTATCTACTTAAACGTCAGGACATCGGTGATCATATCTCTCCACGACTTCCTGTCATTTGTAGCTCTTAGCAATGTTTATGTTTTTGCCATTTCTTCTAATCAGTATTCTGCCAACCATTCACACAAGTTTGTTAGGCGGGATATTCGCTACTTTCCCCCTGTCCATCTTGCCTTCCACAGGTCCAGTTAGTGTCATAATTTCTAAGCCTTCTTTCCTCATTATGTGTCAGTTTCTGATTTTAAGTATAAGTGTTCTTGTTTCCATGTTCCTCATCCTTTCTCACAGATTTCGATCTATAGTATCCTCAGTATCCTGAAACCTCCTCTTCATCTGTGAGGAGATTGTTTAGCATTCACTGCCATGTAAGAGGACCGATGTTACATAGTAGTCCAGTACTCTTTGCTTTGTTTTCTAACGACAATATCCTGTTTCTTAATATTTTGCTTAGCTTTTAGTAGGCATTTTTCGTTGTTTCACTGAACTTTTGCATTTTCCACCCTCTTATTAAAACAATTC